TATATATAATTTACTTTACTTACTTATATATATATATATATATATATATATATATATATATATATAGTTGGAGCAAACAATTCAAACGCATAGATCTGTTCCTATTCTACTGACAGTAGCTAGTCTTGAGTGCCTTATCTTCATCATCCGGTGATGGCAATTCGGGCATTCTACTGACAGGCATAAGTTTACAATTACAAAACCCTACGAATTTTGTGGCAATTTTTCTTGTCCTTTTGGGTTCTTCCTCTTACCTTGAAGATGTAATCTTCTTCGTCGTTTAGATAAAAAGATCTTTTTTTTTCATCCACTTATTGGACATTTTCGACCGAAGGTTCTTCTCATCGATTATTATGTTATATTACTATATTTGGCTTCAAATGTATAGAAAGAGTTAGCAACTCTTTTTGAATCTCAATTAGGGAGATTCATTTCGTCGATCAAGGACGAGAGAAGATGGAAGGCAAAATGGATTTAGGGGAGAGGAAAAAGGGTACCTTTTCCGAGTGCTGGCAGGGGAGGCAAGCCCCGGAGGGAGAGCACTGATAGGAAGCGTTCCCCTTGGCTTCCGTGAAGCCGAGCAGCGACCGACCCCGTTCCCTTTCTTCTTCGTCACGTCCTCCCCCGCCGCCCTCCGCAGGGATGCACCACCAAGACGCCAAGGTAAGCGCCACCACCCACAATCTCAACCCCATCGCCTCGCCCCCCCCCCTCTCTCTCTCTCTCAGTCTCTCTCTCTCACTCGATCAATCGATCGATCGGGATGGGACGACGCGGGTTTGCAGGGCGAAGTCGGTCATAGGTCGTTGCATCGCCCCCGAACAAGGTGACGTGGTCTCTCACGTGACTCGTCGAATGGGTCCCGCACACCGTTTCTGAGAAACGGTGAAGCCGCGTTGTGTGCCACGCGGTAAAGGTCGGCCCGACTTGCGATCGCACGTCCGTCTTCGTCTTCGAACGCGCACCAATCACGAGGGGACCCACAAAGACTTCAGTTGGTTTGCTCCCCAAGTCATGAATTTGACCGAACCGAATGGGGCCCACGTAAGACTTCAGTTGTCGCCCATTACAGACGCAATGGAACCGCACCGATCCGATCCGAACCGAAACGAACCGACACAATCTGTTTCAAACCGTGTTGAACCGAGAAAATTGAACCAAGCGCCGACCGACGCAACCCTACACCACACACAATTCATTGGGTTTTCCCGAGCCAAGTGTTTTGTTTGTTCTCCCTCTTAAGAGAGGGCAAAAATAATCCAAATTAAATGTAGTAAGTCTCTGATTCAGATTTGTTCTTCCTCTCCTTGTCACATGAATTAATGGCCAGAGGAAACCACAATTCATATCAGAAACAGGGGGCATGAACTCTTTCCTGTACAGGAAAGTACACCGAGTTGGATCTCCCTCTCTCTCCCCAGCTCCAAAAAAACATAAAGATATGTATATACTATTAGATAATTTTGTTCGTGGGTTCTGTCAAGATCTGTAGGCGTTGGGATCAAGCCACCTCCGGCGGCGGCGGCAGGTTGAGATCCAAATCGAAGGGAAGACGCCTCGCTTGCGCCGCCATCACCGTCGGTGAGACCCTCGTCCCGATTCCCTTGAACCCAGTTAACGCCGCCGAGGCCGCCGCCGCATCCGATCTCGAAGCAGCGCCTAGGAACAAGAACGGACGCGCGTGAAGGAAGGGGAAACGAGCGGCCGCATGGCCGAGCTCGAGTTCCAGTGGAGGGGGCGCGGAAGGGGTGGAGGACTCGACGGTGTTGCCGCTGCTGCTGGGGCTGGATGGGGCGGTTCCGGCTCCAGCGGCGGCGGTGAAGATTGGGAAGTTGGTCTTAGCCTTGGGGCCGCGGAACTGGAGGGCGACGGTGTCGTAGGCCCGCGCCGCCTCCTCCGCGGTGTCGAAGGTTCCGAGCCAGACGCGGCTCTTCTTGGCGGGGTCGCGGATCTCCGCCGCGTACCGTCCCCACGGCCGCTTCCTCACGCCGCGGAATCGCATCTCCTTCGTTTCCCCGCCTCCCTCGCCCCCGTCGCTGTTCTTCGCCCTCGGAGACATATCAACAGGCCCACGCTTCTTCTCTTCTTCTTCTAAATAGAGAGAGAAAGGGGGCGTCTTGAGGTGGAAGGAGATGCGAGCGTTGCGGTCATTATATATAGAAAGGAGAGAGAGAGAGAGAGAGAGGGTGACGTGGAGCGGCGAAATGGGTTTTGACCGACGGGAGCCGCCGCCCTCCCGTGGCTATATGGATGCGCGAAACCACGGCACAAGACGACAGCACGTTGGAAATGGGGGAACGCCCATCATAAAGCAAACACTGACGGCTTAGATCGTCTGGGTTTGTGGAGGTGCAAACAACGTGTCGATTCGGAGGAGTGTCGCAATCCGACACGTGTTTGTCGAGAGGTGGGTGGCCTCAGCGCTCGTGGGCGGCGCTGTCTCCGTCCCGGCGTCGTCGTGGATTTCGACGGAGGGATAACGACCGTTACGGCCTGTGCCGCCTCCGTAGGGCAACAAAGAGGAGGGACGTATGTGACGGCGAGACAACGGGCAACGAGTCCTCGGGGGATGTACCCGGGCGGGGCGGCTGCCTCCGCGAAGCATCGGGGACAAAGCGACAGGAAGTGACGCGTTCGTGTAGGAGGGGGGATGCGTCTGCGCCACTTGTCTTCAAGCGCGTGCGCAGGAGGACGGTATCGTCTGCGGTCTTCTTGGAAGCGCGTTATCTGTACGGATCTGAATCCAACGGACGTCGTAGATGTTGCGGTGCCGCTCACCTGACGTCACAGGATCACCGCAATTATCACCACTCGAGCATGAATCGATCCGGTCATCTGACTCATTCCGTGTTGAAGAAAACGATCCGATGAATTGAACCGACCAAAAGTCTTATTTTTTATCTCTCTAATTCGCAATCAATCTGACACGTGTCGGTGGGAACGCGCCACTGTCTCCCTCATTGCGGTACATCCCCCCGGGGATGTACCAAAGCATCAAAGGGGGAGCGGCTGGATGTAACGGCGCCAGAGGACAGAAGGGGGAGTCGTCTGCGCCACTTGTCTCCAAGAGCGTGCCCGAGGAGGACGGGTAATTCTCCATGGACTCGGAAACGCCAAGGCCTCCAAAGGCAACCCTCCATCGATTCTGAAACGCCAACTCCACATGCATCACGCGCTCCGGCGCTCGTCCGACGATTCGTCGTCCTCCGAGGAGTCCTTGAGGTGGTGGAAGAAGTTGTCCAGGTGCCAGGGGCAGCTGTCGTACCAGCGGCCGCGCACGGCCGTGGCCCGCCATTGCTGATCCGCGATCATCTCCGGCGACAGCCCCCACCGCTGCAGCTCTTCCGGCTGGTGGTGGATGGCGAGGCTGTAGTCGCCGCCCGGGCCCAGCTGCATCACTCTGATCTCGCAGTTGCCCGGGTTGTTCAGCCGCTCGAACTCGTCCACCGTCCACTTGAACCACTTCATCAGGAACACCCTCGAGGTCAGGCCGTGCGACACGATCACCAGATTCACGTTGGCGTTGTCCTCCTGCTCCAGCCGCCGCATGTCGATGTCTCTCCACAGCGACTCCATGAAACCTGCATTCCGACCCACCGCATGCGAGTTGAGAGACCTGCAGAAGGGAGGAGGAAAGAGGGTGGGGGGGTGGGCGAAGTTTCCGTACTTGTGACCCGGTCAAAGACATCCGCGGCGGACTCGCCCTCCGGGAAGCGGAAGAAGAAGCGACCGAAGCGCTCCCGCGTCTCCTTGATGGCCTTCATCCTCTCCTCCACCTGGAAGTTCCCGAAGTCCTGCTCCCGGATTCGGCACTCCTCCCTCGCCCCGATGATCCTCTTCCGGGGGAACGCCCGACCCATCTCCCGCAGCGTCGACCGCGTGCGCTCGTAGGGCGACACGTAGAAGTACACCTTCCACGCTGCCGCCCGCCCGCCCTCCGACACCACCTGGCAGATCCGCTCCCCTGCATCGCGGGCCTGCTCGACGCCCAGCACCGTGAGCGGAATCCGGTAGTCCGGCGTCGTGGTGTAAGCCGCCATGTCCAGGTTCCCCTGGCTCTCCCCATGCCTCACCAGTATGATCCTCTTGGGGAGGCTCCTGTGGCTACTCTTCTGACTCTTATCCATCTGCTCTCCCTTCCTCCTCCTGAACCCAGCATATGCTATGGCTTCATAGCTTCTTGTTGCGGTCTGACCAATCCATCGAACGAACTCTGAGCTGTATCCCCTGGCGTGCGTTGACAAAGACAACGAACAAAACGAGCTTTCACATTGAACAAGATGAGGAACCTGAAAGATAGGTCACGGAAATCGCCGCCGCCAGGTTCCAACGAGAATCCAACGAGCTCTGCATCAAAACAACCAACTTCAACAGCACAAAGAGCAATGCATGAACAACACAAAGGTCATCTGGAGCTTGCAAACAGTATAGGAGGCAGAAAATTAAAATAGTTCATCCCGGAAATATCTGATTGAACAATGGTCATAACACGAAACTAGAATATTAAATCAAGCAGGAAAGTGGCAAAGATGAAGATCGCATCAGAAACCATACCAAGCTGTTCACAGTGGCTGTGATGGATGGCTACTTGCCCTCAAAAACTTTGCTAACAACAATTACTGCAATGGATGACTCCTCTTTTGCTTCAATGCATCACAGCGTTCCTTCGAACATTTCAAGCGATCAGAAGACTGCATTAAGGGGAAAATTCTTTATTTAGTCAATGCTCTAGAGTAACCTATCACAGCAATTAACATAGAAATAATGCTCCAATCTAGAAGAAATAATCTAAAAATCATTCCTAGGGATTCAATGCAACATGCAAATACATATACTTCAATTGTTTTCCAGCCAAAAGATTTCATTGTGGTCCTGAGGGCCTTGACTCACCCATTAGGGGATCTATCCACTGTTTAAAGGCAAAATACTCCCCTTTTCGAAGAGGCCACAAACACCTGAAGACCATTCATATAACAGAACATTTTAGTAAAACAACTTATCTATGTCTCATTTAACTTCTATTATCTGACAATTTCTGAAGCTAAACAAACATTCCATTGTTGACAAATCATGAAATATGTGATGCAGTGACTGTTTATCCAACAACAAGCCTCTGACCACTGATAGCTGTGCAAAAAGTTACAATAAAGAATTGAAGATTCTACATCTAAAGCTTACTGCTTCAGAAAATCTTGTGCATGCAAATTGCAACATTGAATTCTCCAATACTGTAATTTTGTACTTTGCCCTTCTATGTCACATCAATCACTAGACCTCTATCCCAGGTTCACCAATATGCAACAACAATTAGATCTCTGTCCAGAAGTTTGTGGACCAACAGTGCACATCAATTACTGGTGACAATAGACAAAGAATTGAGTAAAATCAGCTATTAAAGCCATTCATTAGTACGGATTATTGCTTGCCAAATTTCTGTAGGAAAAGAAGACGCTCACGCTGGCTATTATCGAGCTTTCACAAGCATTTTTCTTAATTAGAAGTAAGATCAGGTACTTATAAAAGATATCAAGATGATCATACCTCTTGATGATGACAAAAAAAAAGGGCCTTTGGCTGCATTAAGACATTGGGGAAAGGGATCATTCCAATCAACTAATCAGAAACTGCACTATAAACATCCAACTTTAGCATGATATTAAAATATTATGATTCAATGAACTAGAGCCTAAAATCAAGGACAAGAATGTTTGATCTTATGCTGGAACTCAATTCCACTAATGTGCCAACCAATTTTGATATTGGGTGAATAGAGAAAACTAGTTAAAATTCAGTCAATTAGTCATGATTTTACCACAGCATAGTTTCTACTAATTGTCAAAAAGCATGTTTGATATTGAACATACATCAGAAGCATTATTTTGGTGTCTGGTCAAATGGTCTTTTCATAATTCTTGATAATATCAAACATAGGTAACAAAGTCGTAAATCAGCTTGAGCATCAACTATAACCCAAACATTATCATTTAGTCATGAGCTTGGAAAGCAGAGAGTTCCAATTATGGCAGTCAGGCACAAATGAAAAACGTCTAACCCCAATTATGGATTCTTATCATGAAAAGAGTTCCAAAGGCTACCAACGGATGCTAAGCTTAAGCATGTCCTAAGTCGACAAACACCGGATTGGGATATCTTCGAGCGGATATCCCCATGGTTAAAACGAAGTGTGAACGGTCAATAGATCAAGAGTTCAAGTTCTACGAGAGCGTCAAGTACCCATGGATGTCATATCCTTGATTGAAAACAAGCTTGCATAATCTTTCTAAGCAATAGACACAGTTCGAAGAGCGGCAACATCCATAGAGATCAGAGAAAACTGATAATAAAAACAAAGTTGCCGCTGAATGATAAAGATTTACTTTGGATAATCCAAAATGAGCAAGGACCTGCAGAAATGGTTGATTCTCGAGAGGAATCCGCCTTAAGATGCTAAGATGCCCAAATGACGATATTATGCGGTAGGGCTAACCGTAAGTTTTGCACAATATCCGGAAATAGTACGAGTAGCATTCATCAACAAGCTTCAAATGGATCACCAATCAACAACGACGAGGCAACCACAAACAAGAAGGAAGGAGAATGAAGTCGTCAAAGCGTCGATGGAATCTTTTCATCCGAGAACAAAGAAAAAAGCAACATCGGAAGATCAACAAAAGAGCGTCGACTGCGGGTAGGAGGAGGAGGAGGACGACTAACAGATTCAAGAGTTGCGCCTTCGCGTCCAAGCCTTTCGCTCCTCGCGATCTGTCGCAACTATCGATTGGAAGGTGGAGCGGGGATGCGCGGCGGGAGGTCTCCTCCAACCCCTTGGCGTAGGTCGACCGGCACAGCCTGACCCCTGAATTGTAACACAAGCCACAATAAACCACCAAATCAAAACCACATATATATATATATATATATATATATATATATATATATGAGATCAAATTATCTCGCATTCAATTTGGGATTAAATTGAGGAAGTGACACTCTTCCTTACGAATAGGCAATCAAGAAAAGGATTGGAGGTATCCAATTAAATTGGTAATTGGAAGGATGTGCAAGAAAAGCCCAACTGAATCCCAACCGTCCACTTCCGGGAAGTGTTTACCCGGACGAGTACAGATCAGCTCAGCTCTCATTCCAGGCGACAGGAAACTTATCGTATCCTGATTTTACGTTGTGGATGGACCCACCTGGATCTTTTGGGTGACCATGGAACCCTGTTTTGGATCCGACAGCTGAGCCTCTCGCCCTTCCCATCCTTCCCTACTCCGAGTTCCGACGCTTCGTTGCGCGCTCGCTCGCTCGCCCGCCCGCCTATAAGTAGCTCTTCTTGCTCCCGCGAACCCTATCCCCCCTCCGTCCGCCGAAGCTGCTTCAAGAATCCTTCCCCCAGTTCCGATGGACAAGAAGGCCTCCCCCGTCGCTGCCGTGCCCCCCCCGTCTCCCGATGGGGAGTCTCTGGGCAAGGTGGATAGCCTCAAGACCCTGAACGAGCTCCTCTTCATGGAGACGGAGGAGCTGCGGCAGAAAATACGCGACCTCCGGTCTCACCTCGACCACCTCTCCCTCGATCATTCCCTCTCCTCCGACCTCGAGAACGACATCACCCGCCTCGTACTTGCCTCCCGCCTCGCCGAGTTCGCCGAGGAGATGGCGGCTGCGGAGGAGCGGACCACGCCGGTGGATGCCGACCTCATGACGGCGGGCTTGCATCTGGAGTCGGCGGACGCGGACAAGGATGCGATCGAGAAGACTTTGGATGCGGCGATCTCGGATAAGGATGCCGTCCTAGAGGATACCGGCGACAAGAATCACCATGCTGAGCTACAAGTGGCTGTCCTTCTTGAGGAGATGGAGAGCTTAGAGGTGGCTCTTAAACAGAATTTGTCATCTATCGGAACCCTGGAAGTCGAAAAGGCGACCATGGGGGAGAAGATAAAATATATGGAGGAAGTTCTCAGAACCACTGATGACCAACTGCTGTCGATTGCAAGGGAGAAGGGAGAGATCGAGAAAGATCTGGAACTTGCAATCATGGAAAGGAACGCTTGCAGAAGAGATCTAAATGCGATGTCGATGGTGCTTGAAAAGACGAAGGAGGAGTTCGCTGGTTATCAGGCAGCAAATAATGCTCTCGATCAGGGGATCGTTAAGTTGGAGCGCCAGTTCGAGGAAGAACACGCGACGGTCAGCAAGGATGTAAACCGATGGATGGGAAAGGTTGGCGGCACCGAGCGGAGGAAGGAAGAGCTCGAACAACAGATTAGTATTCTTCAAACCAAGATCACTGATCTGCAGGGAAAGGTCTCAAAGAGTGAAGCCATTCGGCAGGAAAAGATAGCTTTAGAAGAGAAGTTGGGCTCGGTAGAGGAAGCTGTCAAGAGCGCGAACGAGCGTTTCGATCTCGTCGCAGCAGAGAAGGATGGTCTCAAGAAGGCTTTGGAACAGGCAACCCTGGAGAGAGAGTCGACCCAGAGGAAGCTCACTGATGAGGCGAACAAGTGTAAGGCTATGATTGCACAGGTGACTGAGGAGCTAAAGATGAAGCTCGGCTTGAAAGCGGTCGACGAATCGAAAGCCAAGCAGGAAGGCGAAATCGCTACTTTGCAGGGACAGGTTGCAGATCTCTCGTCTACTCTGTCTGCGCTTGTAGATTCGAGCGGAGACATCACTGGGAGAAAAGCCCAGCGGCAAGCTGAGAAAGAAGCTGTCTTGAGAGACCTTGATCTTGAGAAGGCCAAGGTCCGCCGGCTGAGATTGCAGTTGGAGAAGCTGAAGAAGGGCAGGGATGATGCGGCCAACGTGCTCCGGAAAATGGTGGTGGTAATTGAAGGACTCATAGCGGAGAACAGGATCATCGAGACATCAGAGCTCATCACTGGGTTGGTGACGGCAGGCAACGAGGACGGCGTTGGACGAGGAATCGACATCGAGCAGGATGCGGATGAGAGCATGGAGCATATGGGAGGAGAACTGGAAGCCATGAAGACGGCTTTGAAGAGCAAGCTGGCGAAGGTCGAGGGCATGGACCAGGCACTCAACCTCTTGGGCGGCGCCGTGGAGGGCAAGAAGAATGGCGGAGAGTGGAGGTGGCTCTGCCCAACCGCGGCAACTTTGCTTGCTGCCATTTCTCTAGCCTATGCGGCCAAGCATTAGCTTCAAGTGCTAGTCTCTCTTTGGTAGCCAAGGATTAAGCCTTTTTCCTATAGTTTGACGTAATATGAATAAAAGGTGGAATCCAACATATGCTTGTGGCATAGTGTCTCTGGTTGCAATGCAAAAGCAGTGAACTGAAGGGGTGGTTGCATGTAATATACCTTTGTTCTGCAAATAGTCACATTCACTTTGGCTTACAGATTGCTGTCCATAAATATGCTCTTCAGACAAAATGTGTCTCTTCTTTAACCTGGCAACAAGGCAGTCCCAGGAAGACGAAGAAGAAGAAGAATAAGAATTAGGTAATAATTGCAGTTCCAAGGTGGAAAATGTATATTGACACACCAAAAAGAGGAATGGCAGACCATTCATGGGTGCTTCAATATTCCATTCATCCATAAATCCCAGTCATCAGTTTCTGGAGTTGAGCTGCACATAAAACAATGAACATAAGTCTCACCAACTATCTCACCTTATTTAATGCACTTAAGCCACCAATAAAAGCTAAGCTTAAAATGAAACATACATTTCAGGAAATATCTATAGTGCCTCTGAGAACCCAGTTTATACATAGGCTGGAATATTGAATCAATAAATAGTATATAAAAAAAGAGAGATCTAATGATATTGATGTCATTCCTGTAACCTTTAGACTTGGAACATGAAAAATTCCCAGATGCATCAACAATCATGATGTCGTTCCTGCATCATTCCGTGATTGGCCTTAATTTTTACAGGAAGTTCAATGATCATACCATAAAATTCACAACTATGATAACAATATGGCAAAAAAAATCATATAGCACAATGCATGCTAGAATCATGGGAGCACAAAAATGCACACATCCTTTCATCATTTGTAGCTGATGCAGAACTAGAGATATATCACATATACAAAATGGCATAGCTTTTTGAGGTGCAAGCCAAACATATAAAACATATATAATTTCCGATGCAAACATTAGACTGAATAAGTGCCAAACTAAAGTTCCACTTCATTAGACTGATAAATGTCCGTGGATAAAGACCAACTTTGCAGGTCTTATTATTATATTACCTGGAGCCACATTTTGATCGCCAAACAGGAAGAGCATTGGTGTCGGTAATGTTGTTGGAGGGTGAGCTGTCGTCAGCGGCAGTGCCAAAATGGAATGAGATGTTTCTATCTTAATAATTCATCACATTTCCCTTTCTACAAAGGTGGAAGGAGTCTTCAAAAAGGGACAGAAGAATGAACTGCAAAAGTGCTCAAATGAACACCATGGTCAGGGAAAAAACAAACTTAACAAGAAGCTAGCAATCAAACAGTTTAAACATATGGTACACCTTTATTTAGCAACTGTTGAAATTTCTGTCAAGATACTAAAAGGTGATGGCCATAATGTGTTATAGATGTAAATATCTGACCAATATATCAATCACATAATAAATAAAAGAAAGCATAAATGAGGTTTAAGTTAGGCATCATGATTATCTCCAATCTTTCAGAAACATTTAAAAGAAGTATTGCTGCCTGCTAAGGTAGTAAATATTGATTAACTCACTAAGTCTAATGATCAGAGAAGAATACCTGTGCTGGAGAAAGCAAAGTGCAAACCATGCAGAAACACCACCTGAGATTGCAGCAAGCTGAGGATTTCTCTCCATTGAACCCAATCATATATCTACTAGTGACAAAAAGGAAGCGTCACTTTCCTTGAGTTTCAGTTCATCCAAGCTGTGGCCTTTGTGGCACCTGCATCACAAATTCCACACAGTTCTTCGATAAATATATATTTACTACCTTATCAAATTAACCAACAGATAAACAAACCACAAGATGCTTACAGATATAGGCAACCATTTGAAAACTTAACTTCGATAAATCTCATTTAATGTACAAGGAAAATGTAAACAATCTCTAGCCTCATTTTACTTAATGTGGCCTCCAATAATTCAGTGTAACAGAGAAGCTACCTACTAATGGCCAACATTTAAACCCTATTGACCAATATAACTCTAATCCTTCTATCAATAGCATGTAACATCATTTGTATTATTTGATTGCACCAGATCTCTACAAAAGAAGTGCTCTTTTAAGAATTATTTTGAATAACTTTCCTTCTCAAATACAATTTAATAAGCTATACACCATACATTATCCCTTTGCAAAGACATAAATTAACATTTATCTTGATACCTCATTCATGGACCTACACTTGCATCCAACATCCCAAAGAAGTTACTCAACCAGGCCAAGACTTCTAAAAATATCAGTATAACCAGCTTTGTCATTATGACATCACCATAGATTCTGACTTTCTTCAGAGAACTAATTTGACTTCAACCGATTGCTAGAGAAATTTTTTTTGAAAAGGCACAAATAAATAATGAGATCAGGAAATATAACAAATGGCTAGATTATTGCCATAACCATCACTGGCACTCATTGGCATAGTTATATGATAATTGAAATCAAAACTACCAAAAAGTGAAAATTGGTCCCCTGGCCAGTCCAGCTTAAGTGTTGGATTGAAAATTATCAAAAGGCAGAACAAATCAGGTCCATGCAACTGGTTTTACATGAATCAGAAGAACCAACCAATCCAATTCAAATCAGGTAGGTGTTCAAATGCATAAAATGGATTGTTGAAAATACACAATTCAAGAATCACAGCATCAGCTATACCATGTCAGCAAGAGATTTCTATAACCTTCCAAAAGCATATGGTGGCATCCAAACTCCCAAACACATCACTACTTATGAGTAAAGTCATTTAAAGAGGCATACCTTCATCTACAAAGCTACAATTCATTGGTTGCCCATAACCTCTGGCTGTGAAATTATATAATGCAATAGATATACCATATATGTGAAGTACAAAATTTGAGGATTCGATCCAATCAATTCATTATGGGCTAGCTTGAATTCTTTAGCTGCCAAAGAATGATCTAACTATGACATACTACTAACCGATGAATCATCAATGAACACAAAGCACTTACAGTGGTTTGAAATTGGTGAATCAATCAAAATGATCAACACCAGATGATCTTCTTCCTACATGACCTAATTTTCATGTTATCTCAAAAAATCATATAGTGTCTAGTTGCCAATCCCTGATTGACTATGAACAAAATATATTTGGCCAAATGAACATTAGCTGCAACACAGATGAAGACCAACATCAAACATATTGTCAGGTGCTTCATAAAATGCATCATGCTCATTTCTTTTCACCTAAAAGAGCAAATCACTGGTGCCTTCTGATTAACAATTATCATAATAAAAGCAGATAGCAACCAAAATCATGACAAAGGTTTCTCTTCCTCTTAATTCCTGTAGAAGTGAACACTAAACAAAGAACCAATTATTCGGGACAGAAAAAGCCAAAAAAAAAACAAAGCTCTCATTCTCATCACCTAATTGAGTGATCATTGGAATAAGATAAATTAGCTCCTACAAACTTAACAAACAGAGACCAATTCATTAAGGACAGAACAAAAAAAAAAAGAATATGCATGATACAATAACAGATGTTGCACAATTTTCTGTGAGAGCATCAAAAAATCACAAAACATCAAGAGTAGTAACTTGTATTGCTACTCCAGATCACTGAAGAACATCCTGTGTGCATCATACTTGACAATAGATAGTTCTCTCCTCTGTTTATCCTTAGCTCCTCATTTTAGGAGCTCACACCACAAGATTCCAGAATAAACAGAATTTACAGCCAGCTAAAAAGACTTTACAGCTCTGATAGTTAGCAACCTCAATTTGACAAAAACAATAGGACCAAGACAAGCAAATGTCAAACTCAACTTCCTTTGCACTGGGGAAGAAATCAAGAGGCAGAAGCAACTTATATAGCAAAGAGAGTGAAGGGGAAAAAAATGTGTTCTTGTTGATCATACATATTCCTAAAATGTGAAAAAGTAGATCAAAAGGTCAACCACACTGAAAGATTCTCCAGAAAAATATACAAATCTAGAGCACCATCACAAATACCAAGAATCAAAACAAGTGTACCATCACAACACTGTAAAGATATCCAAATCAAAAGAGGATTCTTTTTCCTCTTGACAGGCTTTAAAAATGAGAAGAATGCAGTTAAACAAGCCACTGATTCAATCAAACAATACAATTCAACTGAATGTAGCCAAAAAGTAATTGATTTCAGGTGCAAATGGAAAATTAGATTGAGAACCAGAAAAGGATTATAACCTCATAAAAATAATCAATTTTCAATTATCCTCTCATCCTATTCTATGATAAGGATATTCAACAACTTGCCAAAACGTTTTATTACATTATCAGGCTCACTCCATTCATCATATTCCATCATACCAAAAGATTATATCTTTATAATCTAGAACTCCTGTGACGCAGATCCAATATCCCCTTTCCCCTTTCCCGCCTTACTAGGCAATAAGGTCTGATGGATATTGGGCAAAACACCACCACTGGCGATCGTAACAGCTCCCAAAAGCTTACTCAACTCCTCGTCATTCCTGACAGCGAGCTGTATATGCCTTGGAACGATTCTATTCTTCTTATTATCCCTCGCAGCGTTTCCGGCCAATTCCAGGACCTGAAAAGAATCAAACCCTAATCAAATCAAACCGCCAGTCAAAACCACGGCCAATTCCAGGACCGGTTAACCGACCTCGGCAGCAAGGTATTCGAGGACGGCGGCGAGGTAGACCGGGGCACCTGCGCCGACACGCTCGGCATATTTCCCGGCCTTGAGGAACCGAGCGATGCGGCCGACGGGGAACTGGAGGCCGGCCTTATGCGAACGGGAGACAGATTTCGACGACTTGGCCTTGCCTCGGCCGCCCTTTGCCGACGTTGTGGAACTCATCTCTGTTATATCTTGCTCGCGAAGAAACCCTAACGAAGAGGAACGACGAGGAGGGCGAAGGCTTCAGTTTTGCGGATCGCCTTCGTCGCCGCCTGTATATATAGGTGCGGGGGAAAGGGTCCTTCGCAAGGTCTTTTCTTGTGATTGGTCGATTGAGGTTCCCGCGGATTGCCAGCGTGGAGCCCCTGTGTTCATCCCATGATTTATCAAACGGTGGAGACTTGATGCATCAAAGCAGTCGCCTGAGACACTTTTCGCCGTTGGATTGGAGATCTCACGGATCTCGAAGCAGAGTATTAGCATGTCGTTAGATTTCGATGGGAATTCTCGGACCTATAAAAGGCAAATGAGAAAGGCAGTAAAATAAGGAAAATATTTCAGTGAGAATAAGATAAAGTAATTAACTCTTTTATATTTCTAAATAGAGTTAGATTAATTAGAGTTTATAAATTATATATTAAGAAAATAAAAATTTTAGATATTGGAAATGATATGTAATTATGAAAAAAATTAGATTTTTCCCAAAAAAGACATCTCTTTTCCAAAACTTTCTTTTTTTTCAACCTAATATCTGATTGATCGATACGATGTATCGATCCAATTATAATGTTTTTCATATTATGTTACAGTGTCTTCAATAACACTAGGAAAATATTATAATATAATATAAAAAAATATTATATTACAATGTATTGTATTATAATGTTTCTATACTATTTTATAATGTTTTCAATGATACAATGAACACACTATAATACAATACAAAAATATTATATAACAGTGTAATTCCTGATATTATTGAAAATATTATAATATAACATAAAATTATATTATTGCATATATTATTCCAGTGAGAGACACTAAAACTTTTGACCATACTCCTGGCATCAAAATCAAGTTATAATAATAATAATAATAATAATAAAAGAGCTTATTAATAAAAAAAAATCACTTTTTGAGTTTTTCTTAGAGGTTTTATACATGATAATGAGGGTGCACACTCATGATCACCCTCGCTCACTCGTAAAGTCTATCATTTACCCAACAAAATTTATAAGATTCATCGTACCTTCATTATTAGACGAGTTTGATGGAGGAGAAGTGATGGGTGTGTCACAAGGTGGCGATCGATGAGATGGAAGGCTCGATAGAGGTATATTGATATACTATGTGTGATTTATTTAAAGTTGAAATATTATCTAAACATTTTTCAAATTTATTTTTTATAATTAAACCCAAAATATCTAAAATGTAAGTATTTTATAGAAAAATCGCTCATAAATATGATGAGGTATACAATATAACAAATAAATAAATATATAAATAAACATATAAATTATATATATATATATATATATATATATATAT